AAATTACACTTTTATTTGTCCCAGAAGGGCACTATGTTTTACAATGGCAAACATACATACATAAATACATAATTATAAATACGTACGTACATAGATACATACATGTATAAATACATACATAAATACACACTATTACACAAATACAGAACAGTTTACTAACAATGCCACTGTCGGTCACCACTGTGCAGCGCCCTGTAATTTGAGCTAGGGTTGTCGTGTCTTGCTCAAGGACACACTCCAGTGACCACCCATCTGATCCCCGTGTCACCGACACTTGCTTGACATTGCTTGAGTCAAAACTCACTACTCACTTAGCCACTGGAGCCCCAAGGAAGAAAGGAATACTTTAAAAGTGAGGACACAATAAAGATAGACACATTGGGGAAGAGAGCGACAGATAGGGAATGCTTCAGAAGAAATGAGACGTGAAGCGAGAGGAGAGTGAAACAAAGAGGAGACGGCGAGAGGAGTAGGATAGATTGAGAGGGGTTCAGAGGGAAAAAAATAGGAAAGAGAGGAGGGGGGGGATACTTAGTAGATTCCAAGAACGAAACCTGGATACACCGTGAGTCATGAGAAGAACAAGAGCAAGAAGAACAAGAACAAGAACAAGATACTGGAAGAGGTAGTAGCGTTAACAAAGACAACGGGAAGACTTGGGAAGCAAGAAACAGGTTTCCACCAACAATTTCTAAAGAAAAGGCGACGTATTTATCCTTTTTAGATGCCCTTTTACTGAATGAAATCTAATTGACCTTATTAGGAGAAAAAAGATAGAAGAAAAAATATAGAATTGGAAGATGCGGGTGGATTGAGTGTGGGGGTGGAGGCAGGGGTGTACACTGTCAAAAAATCAATGCATTGACGATGAAAAAAGTTTGAAGGAAATGTCATGGACATCGCCTGTGGTTAATTACCTTGGTAACTAGCGAGCGAGGCAGCTCTGTAGGCGTAAAAGCTCTTCACAAGTTGAGTAGTAGGTCACCGGATTCTTATTATTACTATTATTATTATTATATCAATAAACAGGCAGACTCGTAAGCGGGGGATCGAGTGAAAATCGTAATAAGTATTGGAATGGAGGCTGTCAGAATTTAGATAAGAAGTTCCTAATAAATTATCTAAAATATCTAAATTGTGTATTAGGGTCTAAATGTCATCAAATTAGTTTTTGTAAAATATGAATAAAAGAAAATTACAATGAGCTTAATTTGTAAAACCCTAACGTATTTTATACAACGTAGTTGACAGTATATTCTGACCCTAAGTACTTGCACGCCACCTGCTCAGACAACAACATGACGGACTGTAACGGTGCTGATATTCTTAATTTTTATTCCGAAAAGGGGGGGGGGGGAGATTCTTGACCGTTGATAATTTGATGAGTTTTCAAACGTCTCTGTTCGTTTAGTTCGTTCCTGTGTGAGGAAAATAAATATTCCATTTGAAGGCCCCCACCCCTGAAATAACATAATAAAGTGCGGAGGAAAACCATGGTGTTCCCACCGAGTGCAGCAAGCAACACTGTACCAACAAGGGAATAAAGGGAATCGAAGGCGAATCATTACACCCTAACCATTTTATTCTCAATGCAAATGTCTCACACCTCGCAAAATTAATAAGTCCCTCATAGTCACATTAATTTCAGGCTAAAAGCGTTATTTAAGCAAGTAACGAATAATGAGATTCCCCAGCAGTTGACTTCAGTAAACGAGGAACGTAAAAGTGTTCATCGAGTAAGACAATGTAATATTTCGTCCCCGGAGTTGTTTCCTCGGTGCCTGTAAGGGAACGCTTGGAGTCGAGGAAACTGAGATAGAAATGGAAATATTATGCACACGCAAGAACACGTTGCGAAGCTACATAAGCCTTCAGTTGGAGGGGATCTCACTCTATTAAAGTGTCTGAAAGGTGTTTCAAGGTGCAGCATTTGAGAAAATTTTGCATTTTGCTCGATTTTCGTTATCAAAGTTCAAGGGTTTTTTTTTGTGTTTTTTTGTTTTTGTTGTTGTTTTGTTGTTTGTTTTTCTTGATCAATGTTCTTTATACCGACAAAGCTGATATCCCCTTGGTTTAATTTTATTTCTTCAAAGTTTGGTTGAAACTGGCGTAAAGTTGACCGAGTTGTAGCCCTTTACATGGATCTCATTGTTTATAAACACCAAATATTTCTAATAGATAGATCGATAGATAGATAAATGCAGACGGACGGACGGACGGAAGGACGGACGGACGGACGGACGGACGGATGGATGGATGGATGGATGGATGGACGGACGGACAGACAGACAGACAGACAGACAGACAGACAGACAGACAGATAGATAGATAGATAGATAGATAGATAGGTTGGTAGATAGATAGATAGATAAATAGATAGATAGATAGATAGATAGATAGATAGATAGATAGATAGATGGATGGATGGATGGATGGGTGGATAGATGGATGGATGGATGGATTGATAGATAGATAGATAGATGTGTTGATGGATAGGTAGATAGATATATAGATAGATGGACAGATAGATAGTCGCCGTTATCGTCCTCATGACAACACAAAAGGCAACGGGGGCTGTGGTGGTACTTATGGAACCTGTTGTCGCCAAGAAAGCCCCTTTTTTAAAATGTGAAGCTTTTATAGAAACACAGGGGCCACCAGTTTTCTCAGCGACTCTCTTCGACTGTCTCTCATTCAGTTCCTCGACTGATTTGCAGCTAACCTCTTTATTTGGAAGTTGTTTCCCTACCCACTACCATGGGAAGCGCTGAGTTGAATATGGGGACCCTACTAAATTATATTTTGCATCCCCTGGATCTACATTAAAATGCTTTGTTGACTGCTTAAAGGCTTTAGATAAAGCTACCCATGATGAAGTATTTATGATTTCGAGAGAAATTTTCCGAAAATAAATAACAAGATCCCGTAGAACCTACGTAAGCTGACGGATACCAAAAAACTAAACCTTCACAAAATCCCAAGTTAAAGAATGCCACGTTAGGAATTCGAACCAGGCTGATCTGTATCGTTGCCCAGCATTTAGTCTTCGAAACTAATTAAGCTCCCACATCTGAGTAAAGCTGCCAATTTCCGAAAGTAGAAGGGTCGCAAACGACTTATTGTAAGAAGTAGGTCTATACTAACTCCAAAGGGAGAGACGCGCGCTGGGCGCGTGGGGGGAGGGGGGATAATAAAACATCACCTACTTAAACTTCTCTAAAAAGATTTACCAAATGTCAAATCTCACAACACAAAGTTTTCGGTTACAGATCACAACACCCTGTCCTTTGTAGCCTGTTCTGAAAAGACAGCAGTGAAACTTGAGAGCACGCGATTTTCAATTTTCATTCTTTTGAATAAAAGAGAGAGATGTCTCGATCTTAAGGTTTTGGAGGAAGTATGAGGAGAACACAATTGAAAAAACAGCAGAAAATACCGAGCTCAGCATCTCGCGCTGTCGTATTATACGTGTTTGCGTCCCACCCGATATAATTGAGAACAATTAGAGTCGGGCTTATTGGAGCCTACGTGTCGAGAATGGCTTGGGTATCGTGAAACACATTCTGGCTCGTAATCGGAACCACTCGATATGTCTCTCCAATGAGGACATAAAAAGTTGTATCCATAGAGTATTTTTCTAAAAGTCATTCCGATTAAAAGCATGCGCTGGTCGGAACAGCTGTACTGAACAGGACGAAGAGCAAATCACAACATTACCTTTCTGACCAGCGGATTTCTCATTGTGACTGACTCACGATTTGTCACAAACAAACAACAAGGAGGGAGAATGCATGAAAGATACAGTTCTTTATACTCTTACAATACTATACTCGCAGTTTTGACATTCTGCCAAGTGAAGAAAAGAGTTTTATATGACCAAGCAGCCAGATTCCGCCCACGTTTGCTAAGCTCATGGGTTCCATCACGAATGTGCTTCGCATGTGTCATATTGTAGAGCATTCTCCGGTCGAGACTCTTTCTTTGAAGTGGACGCGTCCACCAGTGACTAAAAAAGAATATCTGTCACGAAATGGGTTTATCTGATCTGGATACATCGGATCTGAGGCTGTCATGTTACGTGGACATTAGCATCCATATTATTCTCTTTATTCGTTGTGTTTGACCCAACTCTGTTCATGGGCTGTCTTTGTTGAACTCGATACCTTTAATGAGGCCGGGGACAAGCTTTCAGTCTATGTTTGTAACAATGATCTTATCGAAGGACACTTCCAGTTATTAGACTGACATAATATCATTATCCTACCTCTCATCACTGATGGGGAATTAACATTACCTGTGCTGACAGAAATACTCGTAGCATGCCTTGAACAGACAAATTAAGTAGACGCAGGCCAAGAACAAGGTCACGTAATTTATTAACTAACGAGATTACCTTTTGTTGTCGTAGGTTGGAGATAGTTGTGACGTATTTGGGGGACCACGGGAAATAAATAACCACACCTGTCAGTAACTTGTCAGTTAAGTTCATTAATAGTTTGTCAAAATGTAAGCCCTCAGTAAGATATTCCTATTCTCGTTTTTCCCCCTTACTTCTTCACAAAATGTAAAAGCAA